CTGATATTTTTCAGGTGGGCTGTCACTAGGTCTATAGCTAAGAAAGACCCATGTGAGGATGACGTTGATTTAGGTCAGTTATTAATGGAAAGCGAAAAGTAGGATGAGGTAATGGTGGAAGAGGGAGACAAAAATGGTAAGGTAGAGTTGGAAGTAGAGTTTTGTGCAGATTTTATTGTTGATAAAGGTGAATTAATCAACTTACAGATTGGGGATGACAGTTTAAAAGAAATCCAGAGTGAGGCTGAGAGGAATGGTAAGTCTGATGATAATTCTGGGATTTTACTGCCAAGGTGGTGTGTTGATGAGGAAGTGGAGACCCCCAGAGGTTCCAGCTTCAGATCACTGGGAAATGAAGAAGTAAATTGTTCTTACGAAAGAGTATCAGAAGAACCCAGGATATATTAGCTTTATCCCATGATTCTAGTTTGGCAGGACATTTAAGTGTTAGGAAAACCACAAGCAGGTTGCTGGTGCATTTTTGGCCTAGTTTGTAAAAGGATGTGTTAAAAAGTTGGTAAGGCAAATCAGATTAACCCACCTATACCATTAAAACCCATTCCGGCTTTTTGTAAACCTTTTAGAAAAATCGTAATAGACTGTGTAGGAGCTTTTGCCAAAGACACGGACTTCCCTGACTTCCATTTATACACCTCTATCATATCGCCTCTCACTCTATGTCTCTCGAGGGAGTGCAAATTAAGATGCTTTAACCTGTCTCTGTAATCAAGGTTCCTAATGCCTGGGATTAGCATTGATATTTTCCTCTAAATTCTTTCCAAGGATTCCATATCCATTCTGTAATACGGTGACCAGAATTGAACTGCGTAATCAAAGTGAGGTCTCACAAGCGCAAGATATAGTTTTAGGATGACCTCGCTAGTCTTGTAACTAACACTCCTTTGTATGAACCCAAGTACTTTATTAGCCTTGTTTCGAGCAAATACACATCGTTTACTTGGCCTAAGGTTCCTACTTATCATTACTCCTAAATCTCTCTCGCAGTCGGATTTCTCAATGGCAGCGTTGTTCATCTGGTAACTGGTTTCCCTGTTTACATCTCCTATACTAAGTACTTTACATTTGTCCCCGTTGAATTTCATCTGCCATTTTTCAGACCATTAGAAAAACTTTGTTTAGATCTTCCTGTAGTTTTGTGGAGTCCTCGTCAGATTTAATAACACGTCCTATTTTAGTGTCATCAGCAAATTTACTTATGTTGCTGTCTATGCTGATATCTATGTCATTATGTATAAAATAAATAATAATGGTCCAAGTACTGAGCCTTGGGGAACTCCGCTAGTGACGTTGCTCCAATGGGATTTAGTGCCGTTAATGCTCACTCGCTGTTTCCTGCCCTGTAACCACACCCTAATCTATTTAAGGATATTACCTTTGATGCCATGTGCTTCTTTCTTTCTAATTAGTCTTTCGTGGGGGACTATCGAAGGCTTTGCTAAAGTCGAGATATACCACATCATAATTGTGCCCCTCGTCCACCGATTCGAAAACTGAAGAAAAGAATGTTAATAGATTAGTTAGACATGAATGCCCGCTTGTGAAGCCAAGCTGGGAATCATTGATCAATTGTTGCTTCTCCAGGTAATTTCGAATAGAGTTTGAAAGGATTGCTTCTAGTAATTTGCCTACTATTGATGTTAGACTGATTGGACGGTAGTTAGAGAATACTAATCTATCCCCCCTTCTTGAAAATTGGTATTACATTCACTATCCTCCAGGATTCTGGTACTACACCTGTTTTTAAGGACATGTTAAACAACTTTGCTAAGGGCATACTAAGCTCTTCCTTACATTCCTTTAATACTCTGGCAAATATCTCATTGGGACCAGGTGACTTATTAGGCTTTAGTTTGTCTATTTGCTTACTAACATCTTTACTAGTCACTACTATCTCGCTTAATTTGTTTTCTTCACTATCTCTGAATAGAGTCGGTGCCTCGGGTATCATGTTTAAATTTTCGGTGGTGAAAACTGTTGAAAAATATTTATTCAGATTATTGCTCATTTCTCTGTCGTTATCAATTAGGTCGCTGGTATCTGTCTGTATTGGTCCAATCTTATCTCGTGTTTTAGTTTGATACATTTGGTAGAATCCTTTGGGGTTTGTCGTCGCCTCCCTTGCTATCTTCAGTTCATTATTCTTCTTTGCTCTCCTTACCTCGGTCTTAACCCTTCCGACCAATACCTTATGATAATCCCGGAGGTAAATTTCAGCACAATTTATCCTTCTACCAATAGCCTTCCTTTGGCCAATAATGTTCTTTAAATAATTATTTATCCATTTAGGGTCATTGTTGTCTGATCTGAGTTTTTTGTATGGTATGTGCTGCCTTTGTGCATTAAGTAACTCATTATTTAAATTGTCGTGGAACTCGGCATTCTCAGATCTCATTATCAGTTCGGTGTCAACCGTCAGGTTCGCTGGTGGGGTGAAGTTGGTGTGAGTCACCCCCAGGCGTGATACCCCTTCCTTCAACTGTCTCTTCAAACTATCAAAGTTTGCCCTTCTGAAATCTGGGACTTCAGTGGAATTTTCCTTTCGTCTGCCCTGAAAATGTACTGGTATGTTTAAGAAAATTTTGAAAGATTTGCATATTTATCAGAAGTTGTCACGTGCATATCATCTACAATCACAGGGTTGTTTAGAGGTTGCACCAGCCACTTAAAAACACACTGAGAATGTATTGTGAAGAGATGGAAATAGATTGGGATGAGGGTTTGCCTTTGCCTCTTTTTGTTCTGAGGGATGCTGTACAGGAGTCAACAAGTTGTAGCCCATTTGAATTAGTCAGGGGGCTTCTTAGTATGTTAAAGGAAAAGTGGCTTGGAAATTAGGACTCCCCTGGTTTGTTAAAATATGTGTCTGACTTTAAGAACAGATTGATGAGAGTCAGGAAAATAGCTGTTCAAAATTTGAAAAAGTCTCAGAGTGACATAAAGGTGTGGTATGATAAGGATGCCAGGGTTAAAAACAATAAACCTGGTGAGAAGGTGTTAGTGCTGTCACCTTTGCAAGGGAATCCAATGAAGGCAAGGTTTATCCCTCTTACACGAATTTACCAACCGTATTGAAAGACTCTTTGATACACTCTGTAATGCCATCTCCAACCTATACAGACTACCCTTGGCTCCAGCTGCTACCCAGCCACCCCCTCTTCTGGTTTGACGCAAGCTGGTAGCCCCCCGTGTGCCCCTCATGCTCATGGCCTACTCCACCGCCGCCATAATAGAGGACCTTCCATGATACAGGACCTTCCATAATACAGGACCTTCCATAATACAAGACCTTCCATAATACTGGACCTTCCACAATACAAGATATTCCATTATACAAGACCTTCCATAATACTGGACCTTCCATTATACAGGACATTCCATTATACAGGACCTTCCATAATACAGGACCTTCCATAATACAGTACCTTCCATAAAACAGGACCTTCCATAATACTGGACCTCAAATAAGACTGAACCTCCCATAAGACAGGACCTCCCATAACATTGGACCTCCCATAACACTGGACCTCACATAACATTGGAACTCTCATAACACTGGACCTTCCCATAAGAGAGGACCTAACATAACATTGGACTTCCCATAACTCTAGACCTCACATAACATTGGACCTCCCATAACACAGGACCTCCCATAACACAGGGCCTCCCATAACACAGGACCTCCCATAAGACTGGACCTCCCATAACACAGGACCTCCCATAAGACTGGACCTCCCATTATAAATTATAAATTTTACTTATCAGAATTATTATTATTATTATTATTATTATTATTATTATTATTATTGTTATTACGTTTTCGCCCCCCGGGCCCTGATGTGGGTCGGTGACCTGTGTCCGGGTGGGCTAATACCCAAAAAAAAAAAAAAATAACACTTGACCTCCCATAACATTGGAACTCTCATTACACTGGACCTTCCATAACACTAGACCTCCCATAACACAGGACCTCCCATAACACTGGACCTTCCCTCACGGGTCTCCCATAACACAGGACCTCCCACAACACTGGACCTCCCATAAGACTTGACCTCCCATAACACTGTACCTCCCATAACACAGCACCTCCCATAACACATGACCTCCCATAATGCAGGGCCTCCCATAACACTGTACCTCCCATAACACTGGACCCCCATAACACGGGGCCTCCCTATAATGCAGGGCCTCCCCATAACACTGTACCTCCCATAACACTCATAACACAGGGCCTCCCATAACACAGGACCTCCCATAACACTGGACCTCCCATAACACAGGGCCTCCCCATAACACAGGACCTCCCCTACCTCCCATAACACAGACCTCCCTCACAGCACCTCATAACACAGGACCTCCCATAACACAGGACCTCCCATAACACTGCACCTTGTCATAACACTGGACCTCCCATAACACAGCACCTCCCATAACACATGACCTCCCATAATGCAGGGCCTCCCATAACACAGCACCTCCCATAACACAGGACCTCCCATAACGCAGGGCCTCCCATAACACTGTACCTCCCATAACACTGGACCTCTCATAACGCAGCACCTCATAACACAGGACCTCCCATAACACAGGACCTCCCATAACACTGCATTTGTCATAACACTGGACCTCCCATAACACAGCACCTCCCATAACACATGACCTCCCATAATGCAGGGCCTCCCATAACACAGCACCTCCCATAACACAGGACCTCCCATAACGCAGGGCCTCCCATAACACTGTACCTCCCATAACACAGGACCTCCCTTAACACTGGACTTGTCATAACACTGGACCTCTCATAACACTGGACATCACACATAGCACACAGACTATACAGTTTACTGAAGATATATAATAGAGGCACCTTGAGTCTTAGTTTGGTAAGAATATCCAATGTATTGGAAGATATGATAAGGAACAAAGATTAGATAAATTACCAAGAGAAGTTTTTCGGTGGTATCACATTTAGTGCACAGCTGGCGTCCAAGGGAGGCGCTCGCTACCTACAGGATTAACCACAGGTGTTGCCACATTTTGCCGTCCGCCTACCCCTTTTCTCTGAAAACGCTATTTTCCTACACCTAAGGTTCAATTGTTTCAAGCTTCCCACGCGACCAAGAGACAACAACGATGGCTTTCAGAGCAATTTCATCAATAAAAGTGAAGGTTGAGCTAAAACCAGTGGTGGATAACATGGTGTTCCGCCTTCACTACCGTTACACTTACATAATATACATGGTATCGATGTTACTGTGTACACTCTATGATGCAATTGGTAAGTGTTGATGTTTTCGTGTATTCATCACAATAATGTTTTTGTTCTCACTAAAATATTTTAAATGTCCATCACTTAAATGTTTTAAATGTCCATCAGTTTAATATTATTACGTGTTAATTGCTATTTATGTTTTCAGATGTTCATCATTATAATGTTTTAAGAGTTCATCACTATTGATTTTTCATGTGTTCATCAGTATAATGTTTTCCTGTGTTGACACGAGATTCTAGTATGTGTTACGAGCCTCTGGTAGATGACACGAGCCTCTAGTAGGTGACACGAGCCTCTAGAAGGTGTCACGAGCCTCTAGTATGTGTTACGAGTCTCTAGTAGGTGACACGAGACTCTAGTAGGTGACACGAGCCTCTAGTAGGTGACACGAGCCTCTAGTAGGTGACACGAGCCTCTAGTCGGTGACACGAGACTCAAGTATATGTTACGAGCCTCTGGTAGATGACACGAGCCTCTAGTATGTGACACGAGCCTCTAATAGGTGACACGAGACTCTAGTAGGTGACAGAAGCCTCTAGTAGGTGTTACGAGCCTCTAGTCGGTGACACGAGGTTCCAGTATGTTTTCTTGGGTGTGGTCTTGATCCGTCACTATGGAAACAGCTTCCAGATGACAGCCACTCATGGGTAGTACTAATTGGGCTCATGCCACAACATGCGCCTTATTTGTATTGTATAATCTAGGCAACAATGCATGTTGTATTTTTAACCCACAACACCTAACTGTATATTGTAGTGAAGTAAATTACAAGTATTGGGCGAGTTTATGTATTTGGATGGGTAAAATGCTGTTACCAATTTGTTACCAATAATTAAATATTATTGTTTTTTTATCTACTAACTCTTGTGAGGTGGTGCAGGTCATCACACTAATAAAGGTGAGATGGTTCAGGTCATACCACTAATACATGTGAGGTAGTGCAGGTCATCATACTGGTATGTGTAAGGTGGTGTGGTGCATGTCATCACATTAATACATGTGACGTGGTGTAGCTCATCACACTAATACATGCTAATATATGTGAGGTGGAGCAGGTCATCACACTAATATAACTAAGGTGGTGCAGGTCATATCGCTAATACATGTGAGGGGGTGCTGGTCATCACACTGGCGCATGTAAGGTAGTGCGGGTCATCGCTCTAATGCATGTGAGGTGGTGCAGGTCATTACAATGGTACATGTAGGGTAGTGCAGGTCATCACACTAATATATGTGATGTGGTGCAAGTCATCACACTAATATAGGAGACGGTGTCGGTCATTACACTAATACATGGGATGTGGTGCAGGTCATCACATTAATACATGTGAGGTGGTGCAAGTCATCACACTAATAAATGTGATAAGGTGCAGGTCATCACACTGGTACATATGCTGTAGTGGAGGTCATGTAAGGTGGTTCATGTCATCACACTAATACATGTGAGGTGGTTCATGTCATCACACTAATACATGTAAGGTGGTTCATGTCATCACACTAATACATGAGAGGTGGTGCAGGTCATCACACTAATACATGTAAGGTGGTTCATGTCATCACACTAATACATGTGAGGTGGTTCATGTCATCACACTAATACATGAGAGGTGGTGCAGGTCATCACACTAATACATGTGAGGTGGTTCATGTCATCACACTAATACATGAGAGGTGGTGCAGGTCATCACACTAATACATGTAAGGTGGTTCATGTCATCACACTAATACATGTAAGGTGGTTCATGTCATCACACTAATACATGGGAGGTAGTGCAGGTCATCACACTAATACATGCAAGGTAGTTCATGTCATCACACTAATACATGAGAGGTGGTGCAGGTCATCACACTAATATATGTAAGGTGGTTCATGTCATCACACTAATACATGGGAGGTGGTGCAGGTCATCACACTAATACATGTGAGGTGGTTCATGTCATCACACTAATACATGAGAGGTGGTGCAGGTCATCACACTAATACATGTGAGGTGGTTCATGTCATCACACTAATACATGAGAGGTGGTGCAGGTCATCACACTAATACATGTAAGGTGGTTCATGTCATCACACTAATACATGTAAGGTGGTTCATGTCATCACACTAATACATGTGAGGTAGTGCAGGTCATCACACTAATACATGCAAGGTAGTTCATGTCATCACACTAATACATGAGAGGTGGTGCAGGTCATCACACTAATATATGTAAGGTGGTTCATGTCATCACACTAATACATGGGAGGTGGTGCAGGTCATCACACTAATACATGTGAGGTGGTTCATGTCATCACACTAATACATGAGAGGTGGTGCAGGTCATCACACTAATATATGTAAGGTGGTTCATGTCATCACACTAATACATGGGAGGTAGTGCAGGTCATCACACTAATACATGTAAGGTAGTTCATGTCATCACACTAATACATGTGAGGTGGTGCAGGTCATCACACTAATACATGTAAGGTGGTTCATGTCATCACACTAATACATGGGAAGTAATGCAGGTCAGCCACACTAATACTGTTACGACCCTCGGGTAGATCGTTACATGAACACAAATCACTTAAGTCTTTAAAATATATCAGTATTTATAATAATATTCTTAATCCTACGTTCTCCCAACAAAGGTCAAGTTAACAGATCAAAACCTAAACTAGTCAATAAAAATATGAACATTTATTAACTTATTCCAACCATCACAGATGTACATAAAATAAAATAAATAATAATACGACAAGATGTTTGGAAGCGGCTGAGTAAGGACTGAAGGTCCAACAAGATCACACAAAATCAATATCAAGCAAAACAAATCTCAATAGTCAAATGCCAACTCCCAAAACACCAGAGAGAGGGTATACTACTTAACTTAAGGCAGCTGTGCCGAGACTGACTAAAGTGTACCAGTAGGTCACCGACTTCACCTCTCTACCCCCAAATACTGACGTAACATATCCCGATTGGGCAAAACGTAAACTTTATATAAATTACCTATTGACATTAGTTCCACTCATCTAACCTGTATAAAAACGTAATACAATCAAATATAATACACTCAAACATAATATAATAAATACACAATGTACTAAACAAAGTTAATACTTAAATGATGAATCATTCAGTGTGGGTGATTAATGAACGAAACTGCTCGAGCCAACCACACACCATCCGAACTAACGTATTTACATAAGAACATAAGAAAATAGGAGTCTGCAATAGGCCGGTTGGCCTGTCCATGGCATCTCCTGTCGAGAGTTACTACCACTCTCTATCATCCATGAATCTATCTAGCCTCCTTTTAAAACTTTCCAGCGTTCCAGCACTTATTACAATGCTAAGCTTGTTCCACTCGTCTACCACCCGTTTTGTGAACCAGTTCCTTCCTATCTCCCTCCTAAACCTAAGCTTATCCAACTTAAATCCGTTGCTCCGAGTCCTATCCTGCTCGGATATTATAGGAACTTTATCTATATCCCCTTTATTGATTCCTTTCACCCACTTAAATACTTCTATCATATCTCCCCGCACTCTTCGTCTTTCTAGGGAATGCAAGTTTAGTTTCTTTAACCTATCCTGATATGGAAGGTTTCCAAGTCCCGGAATTATTTTCGTTATCTTCGCTGCACAGATTCTAGTGAATTGATATCCATTCTATAATAAGGGCACCAGAACTAAACCGCATAATCGAGGTGCGGCCTGACTAGTGCAAGATATAGTTGCAATAAAACCTCTGCAGTCTTATTACTTACACTTCTAGATATAAAACCCAATACTCTCTTTGCCCTATTTCGAACATTAACGCACTGTTTTCTAGGCCGTAGGTCCGGGCTTACAAATACCCCTAGGTCTCTTTCACAAGTCGACTTCTCTAGGTTAATGTTGTTTAGGCTGTATACATTGACAGTATTTGCACTTCCAATATTAAGTACGCTGCACTTACTGGTGTTGATTTTCATTTACCATTTTTCAGACCACCCCTGCAGTTTATTTAGATCCTCCTGTAGTGCATTTGCATCCTGCCCTGAATTAATCTGCCGTCCTATTTTGGTGTCATCCGCAAACTTGCTTATGTCACTGCTGATCCCAGTATCTAGATCAGTGGTTCTCAACCTTGTTTGCCCCATGCACCCCTTTCACCATATGTCAGAATGTCATTCCCCCCTACTTTCCAAGATTGTCTGCCTCAAAAAGTGCATTCCAAATAATATGCATATAATACTGAAAATCCTTTATTTTTTCCATATTAGTACATATACATTTACAATTTTACATGGATTATTTTTATAGTGGAGTTTTACAAATTAAATGCCAATTAAAAATGTTGATGGATTCATAAAACTTGAATAAAAGTAAAATAGTTTTTTTTTTATTTATAATGAATTACTTAACAGACCAAACTGAAGCATAATGCAATAAACAAAAAGTTCAATAGAATACCAGGATATTGTAAATTTGTAATTAATTTTATTCAGATGAAGATTACAGTCAATGAGAAACCTGTCATTGTTTTTTCTTCGCCAATTCTGGGATACGCGGAGGAGTGCTTGAAAGGGCACAACGCAGGTCATTTTCTACCTCTAATCTACTACGTTGCTTCGTTTTAATTTGCAACAGAGTTGAAAAGCCTGACTCACAAAGATATGTCGACACAAGCGGAAGCAATGCACGGATAGCTCTTTCTGCCACTTTTGGGTAGGAATCGCACATCAAGGGGCAAAATTCTGTGATTGATTTTTCATCGAACATATCTCTTGCTCCCGAATCAGTTTCCCCCCCCCGCCCTGAAAACCTAAATTCCCCCCCTGGGGGGAATTCCCCCCTGGTTGAGAACCCCTGATCTAGATCGTTTATGTAGATTATGAACAAGAGTGGGCCTAGTACTGACCCCTGGGGAACCCCACTGGTTACACAGCCCCACTCAGATTTAACACCATCTACGCTGACCCTCTGCGTTCTATCGGTGAGCCATGATTTTATCCAATTCAAAACTTTCCCTTCGAT